TTAATTAAAGAGGAATGTGGCTGAAAATATGATGGAAGCATGTTATTGTGAAGTTTAAACATAAACAATAAATTTTGATAAATGTTCAGTTCGAATACATTCAGAGCTTTAATTTCTTTTAGTAAAGGCTTGACGTGTGCATATCTGTCTGCATTAAAAATTAACCGAGTTGCTTGTTTTTGTTTGCTATAATTTTTTTTTAATAAAGACGAGTGATTACTTGCCCAAGCTATATTACAATAACTAATATAGCTATGTGTAAATGAAAAATATAAATTTTTAAAGCACATTTTATTCAAAAGGTGCTTCATTTTGAACATGATCCCCAAGGTTAAAGAGATTTTGTTTTCTAATAATTTAATATGATTTTTCCAATTTAAATGTTCATCAAATAATATACCTAAAATTTTCATTGAATGAACATTTTTTATTTTAATGTTGTTTATAAATAAATCTGGAAGTTTAAGGGGTAAGTTATCAGTTTTTGAGGGTTTTGTGAACAAAATGTATTTCGTTTTATCATTATTTAAAGAGAGTCTATTAGCTTTAAACCAGTCGTTGAGATTTACTAGTTCAGTGTTAACAGTAGAAAAAATGTACTTTAAATTATTACCAGAAAAGAAAATATTGGTATCATCCGCAAAAAGAATGAAATTTAGTAACTCGGAGGATAAATGGATATCATTTATATATATGAGAAATAGCAGAGGACCAAGAATTGAGCCTTGGGGGACACCATAACTAATACTTTCTAATTGTGTACTTGTTAAGTCATACGTAATACATTGTTTACGATTCTGAAGATAAGACTGAAGCCATTTTAAATTCTGATTCAAAATTCCGTAGTTTTGCAATTTATATAGAAGGATTTCATGATCTACAGTGTCAAAGGCCTTCGATAGATCTATAAAAACTCCCAGTGTATAGTTGTTGTCATCAAAGCCTTTCAAAATAGTGTTAGTCAAATCAACTATCGCATGCTCAGTGCAATGGTTTTTTCTAAATCCAAATTGTTTATGGTATAAAATATTATTTTTGTCAAGATAATTGTATAATCTATTGTACATTACACGCTCAAGAAGCTTTGAAAAACAGGAAAGTATTGAGATAGGCCTGTAGTTGGTTTCTATTGAATCATCACCATTTTTATGAATTGGAATTATTTTCGCAAATTTTAATTGATCAGGAAAGACTCCATTTTTTAAAGAAAGTTAAATATAACGAAAAGTGGTGACTCTATAATATCATAAACTGCTTTCACAACATTTGAACTAACATCATCAAGACCAGCGCTTTTATTCGTTTGAAGTGTGTTAAAAGCTAAACGAAGCTCATCAATAGAAAGTTCTGAATCTTCCATAACAGAAACAGATTTTTTCAAAAAAAACTTAAATGATTTGTTACTTGGAGAGATTTCACTGGCTAATTTGTTCCCAATGTTTATAAAAAAATTATTAAGTTTCCCAGCAATTTTTTTCTTATCAAAAATCTCAACACTACCCTCTGTTTGAAGTCGTTTGGGAATGTTGTTAAATTTAGTTTTTTTTTTACCAATTATTTCATTTATTATAGCCAAGTCTTTTTAGGATTTCCTAACGCTTTATACAGTAAACTCGAATAGAAATTTTTTTTTTGATTGCTTTTTTAATTTTTCGAAATATTTCTTGTAATTTTTATATTTCGTTTTGTTATTAAAGGTTGGTTTTTTTAAAAAATTTTCGTAGAGTTTTTGTTTTTTCTTTGATGATTTTAAAAGTCCTTTCGTCATCCAGGGGTTATGCACATTTTTAGATTTTATAATTTTTTTAATTTTAGGGAAAGCTTTGTTATATTGTTTAGTAAATACACGGATAAAAAAATCATATGCTTCACATGCATCATTACAATCTTTCAACAGTTCCCAATTGATTTCTTGCAAAAGTTTTCGAAAATGTAAAATTTGATTCATCGTTAACTTGCCTTATATATACTGTTAAGGTTTTTTTTTTTAATACAGCTTTCAGCATTTATTGTTAAAAAAATAGAGAAATAGTCATTAATATCTGTTTTTATAATACCACTCTTTAATTTCGAGTTTCTGAAGTTATTAGTAATAATATTATCTATGACAGATGATGTTTTATGAGTAACACGTGTTGGTTTGTTGATCGCGGGAAAAGCATTAAATTGAAAAAGGGTATTTATAAAGCTTTTAACGTTATTATCTTTGTTAATATTCGTTAGATTTAAATTAAAATCTCCAAGTAAGTAAATTTTTTTTTTTTCCAGTTTGAATAAATATTTTCTTTAAGTGGTTTTCAAATTGTTTATAATTGCCGTTTGGTGGTCGATATACAGCTGTTACAAACGCATTTTTTTCTTTGAGAGTAACTATCTCTATTGATAACGATTCGCAATGCGAGTCTTTAACTTTTAAGTTATCGATTATTTTGTACGTAAAGGAATTGTGTATAAATATGCATATGCCAACACCAATACCATTTTCCCTTGGTTGGTGAATAGAATTATAATCTGATAATTGAAAATTAGAATTAAATATATCTTCTTTTTGACACCAAGTTTCAGTAAGGCAGATGACACTAAATTTAAAACTTATGTTATTTAGCATCAGTTTTATCAAAGTTTTTGTTAATGCTTCTAATGTTAATACTTAGTAATGACATGTTAGATGATGACGTCTTAAAAAAACTTGCAACTTTGTGGACATTGAAATAATTTGTTTCGATGCAAATATTGTCGAAGAAGTTTGTGTCAGAAATAATGTTGTTAGTAGAATGTTGTGAGTTATCGCTTAAAGAAATATTTAAACTGTTTATATTATTAGTTACTGCCATTTAAAAAATATTATTATAATTTTTTTTTTAAAAAACTCCACATAAAAAGTTTAAAAGAAAGGAAGATATTCGAACGTTTAAGGGAAGAAAAAAAATATATATATATATATAAATAAGTTTCAATTGCGAACGCTGTTTTAGAATTTTCCCGCAATTTTTAAATTAATAATTTTGTCATACCTCACTGCAAGGTTTTCTCCCTTTCGGCGTCTTTCTTTAACTTGTGCAAATAATTTTTTTCTGATATCAACTGTTTCTTTAGAGAAATCTTCATTAATATAAATATTTAATCCTTTGAGTCTGTTTGTTTGTTTTAGTATTTTCATTTTATCCTTGTAACTTTGCAATTTTATAACAATTGTTCTTATTTGATCATCTTTTCTGAATCCAGTACGATGCGCACGCTCTATTTCGATACCAGATAAGCCTAGTTTTTGCGCTAGAAATAATTGAACTTTTTCTTCCGTTTGTGGCCAAGTTTCATGAAGACTTTCAGGTAGCCCGTCTATCCTTAGGTTATTTCTTCTAGTACGATCTTCAATATTTCTTTGTTGGTTTTTTAAAAGTTTTAAACAATCAATTTCTTTTTCAAAACTTTTGTGACAAGCCTCGACTTTTTGGTCGATATGATTTTCTTGAAAATTTAAATTTTCTTTAATATCAGCAACATCATTTTCAAGAATTTTTATTTTACCTATGTTAACATTTAGAAGGTTTTCAAATCGATCAAGTCGGTCGCTGATTATCTTTGTATTTCCACTAATAATATCTAACAAGTTTTTTTCTTGTTGTTTAAGTAACGCTTCAGTTTGATTTTGCATTTCTTTCTTGAATTCAATAAAGATTTCTTTCAACATTTTTTATTTCAGATAATGTAATTGCCATAATTAATTAAAAAGTAATTAATAATAAACCAACAATAAATACTTATGATATTTTTGTGAGAAACTTATAAAAAATTTTACGAAGTAGTTAAAAACACATCCATTCGCTACACAAGTTGTTGCGCATATTATTTTCATTGCGCAGATTATTATCATTAGAAGTTTATTCTACCTCTGTGCCACTGTGGTACCACTGCTGCCTCTGTGGTACCACTGCTCTACCTCAATTCTTATTAACGAATGGAATGGAATTCTCATATTTATCAAGTTGGTGTAAAAATATAATTTAAGAACTACAAGTTATTGTCACAGTTTTAAGTCAAGCAACTGTTCTTCTGGTTTAAAATGAAGTATGAGTCTAGTATCAACTGTGTGTACAAAGATTTACTACTTAAAGAACTTATCAATGGACCAACTGATTACAGAATAGTTTTTTATGAGAATAAAAACAATAAACACGCAAAAAAAAAAATTAAAGTTGGCGTCTTTATTTATTAACATTCTCATATTAGAACTGTGTGCACATAATAAAAAGTTTTTTAAAAGTTTAAACTTCAAATTTTTAGCTAAATATTCTAAAATGTAAATCTATTTTTATTTAATGGAATCGATTTTCAAAAACTAGTCATTTAACAGTTTATCCCCCTTTTAATGACATTTTCATAATTTTGCGAAAATTCGATTTGCTTTACTGGCATAAAATAACGTCTGTTTTAGTTATCTTTAAACATTTAAGTAAAATTTTTTTGTTTTTTTAATAGTCCAACAATGTGTAAATTTAATAAAAAATATCGAAAATATATTCTTTCTAAGTTTTTTTTGATAAAGAATAATATTAAATTACTAATATTTAGCCAAGTTTAACATTTGCCGTGTTTATTCAAAAATTAAAGAAGTTTTTTAATATATCTGTAAAACGTCATCAAATAAAACATTTTATTTGTGTTTTTATTCTTTTTACAGAACAAAATTATCTTTAATGTTTCAAAAGTTATAAAAGTTTTAGTAACACCCCTTATGTGAATATTTTCAAAAAATAACCAGAAGCCGTAAAGCTCGCTTGAAACAGCCATGATGCATATATATATATATATATATATATATATATATATATATATATATATATATATATATATATATATATATATATATATATATATATATATATATATATATATATATATATATATATATATATATATATATATATATATATATATATATATATATATATATGTATATATATATGAATAAATACTGATAAAAACATGTTCTTTCAAACCTCTTTTTATCAGGGCTGACTGCAACAGAAGGAGGTGATTCTGATTTTGTAGGAGCCAATGAGCTATGTCGTCCTTTTTTTACAGTTACTGAAGGAATTTTTTCAACCTTGCACTTTGATTGTTTTTTTGATTCCTATAATTTTAATTGTTAATACTATCATGCATGTTTTAAATATATATATATATATATATATATATATATATATATATATATATATATATATATATATATATATATATATATATATATATATATATACATAATATATATTATATGTATGTATATATATATACATAATATATATTATATGTATGTATATATATATATATAATATATATATATTATATATATCAAATATATATATATTATATATATCAAATATATATACATACATACATATATATACATATATATATGTATGTGTGTATATATATATATATATATATATATATATATATATATATATATATATATATATATATATATATATATATATATATATATATATATATATATATACACACATACATATATACACACATACATATATATATATATATATATATATATATATATATATATAATATATATATATATATATATATATATATATATATATATATATATATATATTAGAAAGCCTCTAAAAACAACATTTTTTAAACTTGTCTGCTGCCACCCTCTAAATGTGTTCTATGTAATAAAATTAACACTAAATTAAAAAAATTTGTGAATAAAATTTCGGGATCGCTCAAAACCCTTTAACATTAAAATAATAAAACTTTAAATTTTAAAATAATAAAAACAATTTATGGAAACACAAATTAAAAAAAAAATATATATATATATATATATATATATATATATATATATATATATATATATATATATATATATATAACCATTGTTACAACCTGTATATATATCTAACCAAGTTTACACATTGAAAATTTAAAAAAACAATACCGTAAAACCACTTAATTATGGATGATACCTAATTACGGATGGTTTTATAAAAAGCTATGTATTGTTAAGATTATATCGAATTTATAATTATTTTTTTTGATAAATAAACTTAAACACAAGACAAATCGAACAATAAAAAAATAATTCGAAAATATATTTACAATCGTGTTAGCTTTCAACTTGAAATCTAAGAAAATTAAATTAACAAAAAAATGACAAATAAATAACTTTGTTTTGCAAATAATACTGAAAATTGTATAAACACTATTTTGTTCCAAATTTGACGCTGATTAATATTATGCAAAATTTGCAATAATGTTAATATTTCTTTAAATATATTCAAAATAAGACAAAAACAAGCACAAAAAAAAAAAAAACTAATTCCGGATACAGGTAATTATTATTTATTCACGCTTAATTGTGTGTATGTAAAATGTGTTAGTTTAATTCTAGATTTAAGTACTAATAATAACAATAATAATAATAGTAGTTACATAATTATTATTTATTTACCCATAATCTCGGGTATATAAATGAGTTCATTTATTTATTGTATTTAAAAATCAATGCAGCTTAATTAAAACAAAAAATAGAGAAAGAATCTTGAATGCAGTTGTCTCTTCAAGCCATTAATGATAAAACAATGTCATATGAAGAAGCTTCCAAATCTTTCAATGTGCCGAAATCAACTATTCACTACCGAGAAAAAAGCAAATACAAATCTGTTGGAGCTGGTGTGCCAAGAAAAATGAGTCAAACTGTCGAGGAAATTGTTGATTTAAAATTTATGAGTGATATTAGTTTTGGTTTGAAGAGAAGTGACATTATGATTATTTTTGAAAACTATCTGAAAGAATCAGAACAAACTCATTTATTTAAAGATGGGAAACCAACTAAAAAATGGTACAGTTGACTTATAAAAAATATGAAAATGAAATTAGAGTAAGAAAAGCTGGTGGCATGCAAGCTAAAAGAGCAGTCGTTACACAGCCAAAAATAATTGACGACTGTCTCAACAATAATCTCAATAATCTCAACAATAAGTCATTTCATGTTTTTAATTGTGATGTGTCAGGATTACAATTTGACCTAGTTAAAATCATATGCAGAAAAGGTACCAGAAATCCAAATTAGCCCCAACAAATGACAAGAAAAATGACAACTATTTTTTAAAAATGACAACTATTTTGACGTTGTGATGCATTTGGAAATTATTTACCACATCAAGTAATTTACAAAGGAAAAAATATTCTGAAAAGCTGGTGCAAAGGTGGTACTGAAGATGTTTATTATAATAATAGCAAATCGGGTTGGATGAAGTCAAAACAATTTCTTGAGTAGTTTAAATCAGTTTTTTTGTCTCATGCACATAGACTTGATGATTTTAAACTGCTTTTTTTGATGGTCATGCTTCACTAATTAGTTTAGAATTGAAAAAAGTAGCCTTCAAAAATAACATTTACTTAGGCGCTTGCTTGCTCATACGAACCATTTTTTACAGCCTTTAGGCGTAGGTGTCTATAAAACAGTTAAAAGCAAATGGAAGCGAACAGTAGACAGTTTTTTAACTAGAAATAAATTTCAATCATTAACAAATAGGCAATTTCCTGCCATTTTCAAGGATTTTATAAAAAAAAATTCTTTTAAACCTGAAAATACCTGTAGTAGCTCTAGCAGTAGTGGTTTATTTCCACTTGATCGATTAAATAGGCAAGGTTTTTGATGCTGTTGAAGATAAGAACATTATTAGTTTATTTCAGCCTGTAACCAACACTCCTAAAACACCATTAAGTAGTAAACAAACCAAAAAGTGTTAGTTAAAAGTTTAGATACAATAAATGAAACAGTTAAAAAAGCCAGAAAAGACATCAACCAATCAGTTTTAATGTTGCTCAAAGATCATTATTAGATAATAGAAAAGAGAAAGGTGAAAGAATTCAATGACCAGCCAATTATAATATGACCTTAATCAAGGCTATAGCTTTTGATGAAGTTGAATAAGAATTGAAAAAACAAAAACTAGACAAACAAGCTGCCAAAAAACTATCTAGAGAACAAAATAAAATTGCTGCATCTCAAAAAAAAAAGAAAATGCAAAAAAAGAGATATGAAAAAAACTAATGAAAGCATATCTAAAACAAGCCAAAAGCTTGTAAAATAACAGTTTGGTTAATTAATTTAATGAGTTTATACATGTGTTTTTTCTATTTTGTATCCATCTGGAATTAGGTTAATAGTACCCTGATTCCGGATAAAAACAAGTTTTTTAAAAACTTAATTTTAGTGAAATTTAAAATTAAAATAATATTATTTTTTTATATCGTCTTGTCGCTGCACATATTTTAGTGTTGTTATTTTTTCAAAATTAGTTATAATAAGCAAGATATTTAATTTTTACTTCAAAACGTACGTAATTAGAATGGTTTTACAGTATGTCTTTTTTGTTTTAAAATAGAAAGTTTAATATTTTAAATAAAAAATTAGTTTTATATCCATGTTTTTGAATGCATGACCTAACATTTTATAAGCTTTTCCAAAACAAAATTGAATTGACTCAAATTAATTATTTCAAACAATTTGAATTCATGATTCCTAAACTATTTTTAACTATTTTTTTTTTGGTAGTTACATTTAACACTTGATCACTGAGTAGATATGGTTGATATTTTTGTCTCTTATATTCATATGTTTCAATTTACTTATATAAAATTTTAATAATCATCATTTTGAGTCAGGTCATTTTGCTCTTTTCATGTTTCATAATTTTTAACTTGAAAGATCAGTTTGAGTTTTTCTAAATCAGAGGCTGATCCTATTTTATTAATTAGCTTTATATTATCAGAAAATTTTTTAGATTTTACAAAACTTATCGGGCAAATTGTTTAAATATAAAAAAAGCAAAACTCAAAATAAATAATTACATTTTACATTTACATTATTCAATATCATTCATTAAACATATTTATTATTTAAAATGTCTTGAATAAGTTTGAAAGATTATTTATTACCATGCCAACTAATGTCTTAGCAGTAGTATTTTTTTTTTGTATTTGTAACTATTGGGATTTCATGCTTTTTTTCAAAGTCTAACATGTCAGATACCAGATTAGCTAATTTTTCCATGCTTTTCTTTTTGAACAGTTATCTGTTTCATAATGAAATCTGAGCTTAACTTTTTAAAACATCTGATTAATATTTAACAGTTTACTTTTTAAATATATATTTATATTTTAAAAAATATATATATATATATATATATATATATATATATATATATATATATATATATATATACATATATATATATACACACACACATATATATATATATATATATATATATATATATATATATATATATATATATATATATATATATATATTGAAATATAATTATATTTTTTTATATACGAATATATTGCTTTTGGATTTGTTTTGATATTTAGGGCAATGGTTGTTTCATGTAGTGGTTCTTAATTTTTTAACAACATATTGATTTATATTCTAAAGTGTAACCTAAGTTTAAAAAACAACAGTGAAAACAATAACTTTAAAATTAAAAAACATATTTCATAAAAAGTAAATTTACTTGTTTTGTCATAATATTTCTTTTTGTAATTATAGAAAAAAAGAATTTATACCTTCTATTAAATAAATATAATACTAACAAACTATTTAAAAAGAATTAACAATTATTTAAAAAAATAAATATCGACAACTTGTAGAACTAATCATTTCCATCTAAATCATTGCAAATTAGATTTAATGACAGCAAAAAATCTAGTTAACATTGTCAATTAAAAAGACATTGAAGTTATTAAAGTACTTAAACTACAAAGTAGAATGCTAGTGGTAAACATCTATAATTGAATATCTAAAATGATCAACTTTAAAATATGATTGCATACTACCCCATTTAAAATTCAAAATAAAATGATTTTATAATGGACAACATTTTTTGAAAAATAATATTTTAAAAATATATTATTCAAGAAACAAATGTAACATACTTTTTTCTCAATATTTTTCTCAACCACATCATTTTTATCTCCATTAACTAGATCCATATCTTTTTCTTCAGTGATTAAAATAGTAAAAAGATGGCTAGATTCATTAACTGGAGGCGCCTGGCGGAAAACAGGACAACTAATCACAGAGAACAGTGCATCAAATGGAAAAGGTGGTAGTAAGTTCTTTAAACTAACATCATGGGCTACCTTTAATATAAAAATATTTTCTGAGTTTTTAAGATAATAATTTAACATATAAATTATAACTATAAAAATTATAGCATCTATTTTTACTTCTTTGATTTCTGGCAAGATTTTTGTGTCAAAAGCTTCTTTAAAGTAACTTTGCTGCAGCCCTTTCACTTGAATCATAATATGAGGTATTCCAATGCCATCTTTTAATCTTGTATTCAATTCACTTGGAAGTTCTCCATTGTTTCCAATATTTGCAGCAACAGACTCAACTATCTAAAAAACAATAACACTTACAAAGTTTTGACCTTCAAAAAAAATTACAAAAAATTAAAAAAAATTTATTGAATCAATTATTCTCTGTTTTAGTACATATTTGAATACTAAACTATATTCGTTAAAAAATATGCAATCATTTTAAACACTATTAAAAAATAGAAAATGCTGTACAGTTACAGAGTTGAAACTCTTTCCTTTATGTATTTTTGTGAAACAAGAATATAGAAAATTACAAATATGGAATAAATTTATAAGTATACCAAAAAAAAAATTATACATATAACAAATTAAATAAATAACAATTATAAAGTAAATGTCTATTATTAAAGTATCCCATGATGTTAAATTTTTATCTTTTTATTTGCATCTTTTTTAAATTATTTTTTGTGTAATTTATATTAAGGCGCACACACACACACACACACACATACACACACACACACACACAATATCAAGCTTTATTTATTTGTGCTATTGAAAAATTTCTGTTAAATTTTTTTATCGAACCAATAATTCTTTGGTTAATTTCCATTAACTAATTTTATAAAAACAACTTTTTTTAATTGTTTAATTGTTTTTTAAATTGGTCTAGGGTGTGTTTCATCTTATAATTTATTTAATTTAAATTGTTTGTTTTTTGCTCTCTTTCTATCATTTAACCAAAGTTCAATTAAATAAAAGACAAGAAAAAATATATGATAAAAAATTTTAAATAATCTTAAATAAAATTTTATACATTTGAAATACTATTTTAAAGCAAAAATTACTACTAGCTGCTGGACTTCTAGAGCAGTATATTCATTTATTACTTTAACTCTTTATTATAATAAAAAAACAAACAAAATGATTGAGTCAGTCATTTGTTTGAAAGCAAAACAAAATGTGATGATTACTGATGCTGTTAGCAACATGATCAAAGCAATAATGCTTTTAAAGCATGTAATTCATGCTAATTTTTGTTATGATCATAGAACTAATACTTGTTTAGAAAGAGCATTAAAATTGATGAAACAAGAAGAAGGATCAAAAAGATTTGAAGGGAAAAGTGTTATAGCAGCTTTTTATAACTGTGCACCTTACAAATAAAAAAAAATAAAGATGTCACTTTATTACAAAGCATTCAAGCTTTCATTGAATCTTTGCTTACCGATTTTGAAAATATAATGCCAAAATATGAATCAGAGGATTTTAATAGCAGAACTACACACTTTCTACTCCTATATTATCAAGGAGCTATTTTAGAAAAATTTAAAGTAAATTTGATTATAAGTTTCTTTGAAAAAAACAAATAATACAATATTGTACTATTTTTCCATTGTTTTGAATCAACCAAAAAGCAAATAGTGGCCATGTACAACCCTAAACCTGGAAAGTTATTTCTTTTATTACTTTCAGTAGCAAGCACAGAAGATTTTTATTTTATTGAGCCAATCGATTGTCGCTAGTATGCCACATGTCAAAGAATTTGCAATTGCTAGTATGCCACATGTCAAAGAATTTGCAATTGCTAGTATGCCACATGTCAAAGAATTTGTAATTGCTAGTATGCCACATGTCAAAGAATTTGCAACTGCTAGTATGCCACATGTCAAAGAATTTGCAATTGCTAGTATGCCACATGTCAAAGAATTTGCAATTGCTAGTATGCCACATGTCAAAGAATTTGCAATGGGCGCTAGTATGCCACATGTCAAAGAATTTGCAATGGGCGGTATGTCTTTAACTTATAAAAAAATGTTATCTTTTTTTTCAATGCCAAAGCTTGTCACTAGAAGCAACATAAACCTTTTAACCTGGTGAAAAGACAATTCAAAAATTCGTTCTATCTTGGATAAAACTACTAGATCCATTTATTGCATTTCTGCATCAAGTTTCCCATCTGAATGGGTTTTCAGTTTGTCAGGAAGTATTGTAACTTAAAGCAGGGAAAATCTTAGCACTGACACAAAAGATAATTGGTGTTTTGCCATTAAAACCTTGAGTTGAAATGATCCTGTGAATATACATATATTTCTATATTGCAACTATGTCTATGTGTTTAAATTTTCAATATTATTTTGTTTGCTTTCAAAAATAGTTCCTATATTTAACCTCCCCCCCCCCTCCTATTCTAAAAATATATACAGTTATGACCAAAAGGAACCAAGCAGTCATAACTATTATAGATGATTATTTATAAGTACAAAACTTACTCATTGACAACACATTAAACAATAACTGGTTGGGTGATAGATTGCTTAGTAAGCAACCAATAATAAAATATTATGTCCTTTACACATTAAAATCATGTGAAACTAATTCAATATTATCTTAAAGTATGGATACAACATTATTTGCTGAAAGTGTAGAGGTACATCTTTTAACAGAAGTAAATTCAAAGAAATGATAGTTGCATATTATGAAAAGTAGTCTTTCTGCCAAAGACTACTTTTCATAATATCATTCATCAAATAAAGTCAACAGATAAGATCAATGCAGAAAAATTCTGTAGAACCAAAAATCACCATAACAAAAACCAACAACACATGGCTGTGAATAAAAAATAGATTTCAAGCTCAAAAATTCTTACTCAACTGCTGCTTAGCGTAAATTGTTAGTAAGCAGTTCAAAGACACCTTGCGAAGGACTTCAATTATGCTGCATTAAAACCATGCTTTTCTCAAAAAAATATTAAATATTATTATTGAATCAAATTTTGAAACAAAACAAACACAAATATCATTCTGTTAGAATGCAGTGACATATTCTCAGACAAAGCAGTGCTAAGTAGCAAAAGCAAGGCTAAGCAGTTTGTAACACACAATACCAGTGTTCACTGTCCACCAAATTCACGCTTTATTCCTCAATGATTGCACCTTTTGTTTAGTAATGTCCTGCAATTATAATTTTGTGTGCAATCATTATCAATGGCTGTGCTGGTTTACACATTTTAAAACCGGGTGAGACTATTTAGGCAAACTATTTGAAAATTTTAGAAAAACTAGTTGGAAATTTTAGAAAAACTATTTGGAAATTTTGAAGTACAATGTGTCTAATTGGTTTCGTATTAAAAAGTTTGATATTTTTAAGTATATGACAACTTGTCATGGGAAAAATTATCAAGAAATAGCTCCAAGAAAATGTGATTATTGTTCATGCCCAAAACTTTAAAGTAAAACGGAAGTTTCTAAATTGAAACAAAACTTGCTAGCAAATGTGATGGAAACCTAATAAAGTGTGGTGTTATAAAATAACAACAATATACTGTGAGTCTCTTATTTTAAAGTGTGGTGTTATAAAGTAACAGCAATATACTGTGAATCTCTTATTTTAAAATGTGTTGTTATAAGGTAACAACAATATACTGTGAGTCTCTTATTGCCAAAGTTTGAGAGGCCCTCTCTAGATTAAAATTTTCTAAAATAATTTTATTTTTTTAAATCTTTTATTAATTTTGTTGAAAAAATTTTCCATTATTCAAAACCATAACTTATATTAATGATTTTTCTTTTGATATGCTTGTTTAATGTTAAATGACAAATTATTTTGAAACCAATTTAAACTGAACTTAAAAAAACAACAACAACTGTATAGTACTTATGGCATTTGAATAATGAAACAAGTTTATAGCAAACAAGTTATATAGCAATGCTTCAAGATTTTGTATAATTTAAATCATTTAGCTCATAGAATGTTTATTAGCCAATATTTAAGTTAAGATTCATGTTTTTGACTTGATTAATTGCTTTCTCATTTAAATAATAACCTAAACTAATAGAAGTTAACTGTAAATTCAAAAATATTTTTGACATACAGCATTCTTAGAAAACCAAATGTACTTTTTAAAAATACTTTTAAAAAAATGAAAGTTGAAAAAACTACGAAAAAAAAAAGGGAACTTCAAGTTAACATTTTTTATAAGATGTAAATTTCATTGATATAGGCTATTTTTTAGGTCACTAAATATAAAGCATGTGCTTTTTATGTTGGTTATTGATTGAGGATATGTTTACCTCCTTACGTCGTTCTTTTTCTAACTGTTTCTTCTTTTCATTTTTCTTGCTAAAAGTTTGTATATTGACAGAATGCTCAAAAATATCATTTTCGTTTTCTTCAGACTCAATTGCATTTCCTACTGTTCGATCCCAACCATCAAACAATTTTATAATATCATGCAGTGATAACTCATATGGTTTAAAACTAGATAACAATTTAAACAAATTAATTTTTTTTAATATTTTTTGCTTATACTAGAATAAAAAAAATTCATTAAACAAAAATAACTCATAATTTGTATTGCAAATTTTTATTAATATCCTACTTAGTCTATTTTATTCTATTATTTTTAATATCCCAAAATTAATAACTATTTCTTGTTTATTTTCAGCTTAAATTCTTTTTTATTTTTACTTCTTTTCTGCTTTATTCTCATACTTTTAATATATTTCATATGTAATAACTTTTTTCATTTATCTGTTTGTATTTTACTCTCAATTTTTCTTTATTTTTATTCCTCACCTCTTACTTTCCTTACTCTGATTACACATATTGTAAAAAAAAGAAGAAAAAAACCTGAGTCGAAGATCCTTGTCTTCAGGAGATTCAAGTTCTTCTTTACCATCAATAAGTGGAACTGTTAAATCTTTTACTAATGCAGATTTAACTTGAGCTCCTCTAGACCCATTCTTTTTCCTATACAAAATATAATATTATTAAAAATAAATAAATATTCTAGAAATAAATAAACACGCTTAATTCGAAGACAAAACAGTATTTACTAAAACACACATTTTTTGATAAACTCTTAAATAAAATACTCTCTAAAAATTACACATACCTTGTTTAGGTTTGACATGAAATAATTAAACTTGGGCTGTTTGTACAGCTTAAGTTTGATTATGTCATGTACACCTGCTATATAAAAATGAAATACTACATACACCTGCATAAAAATGAGCTATTACCTATTTTGGAACTAAATAACTAATTTAGGTCTTGCTTTTTTAATCTGCAATTTCCTTAGTCTGATTAGTATTATTTTTTTAATCAATGATAAATAAATAATAAATTTAGACAAATAAATAACTACAATAAAAAATTCTCCACAATATAAAAGCAATGTTCAATATTCAAGCTGTGCAATTCTTATAGACTAACAGGTCTGATAATAAACCAAAATTGATAAAATTGACAACCTATTGTTATAAACAACTTATTGTAATGAACAACCTACTGTAATAAACTATTTATTACTGTTATTCAATGACTATTGGTAAATACCAATTATTTTGTAAACTACATTCTATTGTAAGTTTTGTAATACATTCTACAAGATTTTTATTTCTTTAAATTTATTCTTAAAAAGATTCTTAAAAACTTTTATATTAAAAATAACACAATTTTTTTCAATCAGTAAGTATAAGACAGCTTAATACAACATTCATGGGGACCCTGAAATGTATAATAATCCACATTATTGTAAACAACCATTAAAACAATATCTTTTAAAATTATAGTAAATACAAAATTTATTTAAGTATACTACTATGAAATCTGATTTTGCTACAAGACCACTATTTATTGACTCTCAAGAATGACAAAGATAAACATATCTCCTGTGCCTATGAAAAGTAATAAATTATAATTATTTTTTTGATTGTCTTAAGTAAGAAGTTTCATTATAATTTATGCCTTTTTTTGATTTTTTCATGGTGCCCATATGTTGTACGGAGGTACCCCGTAGATGGCCTACCTTGAAACAAGTTTTAAACTTAACTTTATATAATAAAAGCATAACCTTACATTTTTTAATTAATGGTTTAATATTTGAAAATATGACTTTAATCTACAAATAGAACTAATCAATTTTTTTAAAAAACTACAAAACAAAACCAAAAGAATCATGGTGCTACCTCTACTGAAAATTGAAGTGTACATTCAAATTTCAAGCAGATTGTACACATAAAAATATGGTAATATAAATAGAGTATTATTAGCATAATAATTAATAACTAAGTTAGTATTACTAACTTTATAATTCATGAGTTGTTAGGTTGGTAATTTTAATTTCTATATAAGTAATATAAAAAATTTTTATGTATAAAAATTCTATCTATTTTAATTTTCTATAGTTGAAAATTTTTTTTATGTAGGGCATAAATCCGTTTTATTTGTCAGGTTTTTTGCTAACATTATTCAAAACTCATCATGATAAAAAAAAAACCCACTCATATAATAACTTTGTAATATTGTAGCAACAATCAAAAATACCAAAAGATATATATTAAGAATAGGTTTTTTAAGTCAATTTTTTTAAAGACCTTTAAACTATAACTGTAGTTAAAAAATATAAATACTATTTAAAAAAACAAACAAAACAACAAGAACAAAAAAACAAACAAAAAACAAACAGTTGACTTACTTTTCAATATCATCATTACAAGAAGAATGTCTATCTACAGATAAATTTGTTTCAGGTGTAAAAGCATCATTTGTTGACTTATTACCAGCAATATCAACGACAAACTTATCTTGACTTTTTTTATCCCTTATTTTATTTTGATTTATGTTTTTCTTTTTCTTGTTAGTTCTAAAAAAAATATAAAAAATTTACCTAATTTTATCACCCAGTCAACTCAAAAAAAGGATGACTTCTTCATTACTTTTAAAATTAGTCAAAATAAATTTACGATTTGTGGTTAGTGTTAAGATTGGATGAAATAATTAACATAAATATGTGAACAAATTTTATTGAAAAGTATTTTTCAATTTTTTTTTAATTTAGTCTTATTTGTTTAATGTAAAATTGAATTTGAATTGAATTTTACCTCATATAACTAGTCAGCAATTATGTGAGGGTACTGAACAACCTTTACCTTTTTCTTCTAAAACTTCTTATTCTCTTAACGTTGTCACTCAATCACCTGGATCTATACACTCTACATACCCAAACCACCTTAATCTTCCTTGATGCACCTTATTAGATACTCTCACTCTAAACTCTATTTAAGATCATCATTTATTTTCTTATCATTCAAAGTCACACCACACATTCATATGATGATTGTTTTCTTATCATTCAAAGTCACACCACACATTCATATGATGATTGTTTTCTTATCATTCAAAGTCACACCACACATTCATATGATGATTGTTTTCTTATCATTCAAAGTCACACCACACATTCATATGATGATTGTTTTCTTATCATTCAAAGTCACACCACACATTCATATGATGATTGTTTTCTTATCATTCAAAGTCACACCACACATTCATATGATGATTGTTTTCTTATCATTCAAAGTCACACCACACATTCATATGATGATTGTATTCTCTGCTCTTTCTTATCATTCAAAGTCACACCACACATTCATATGATGGTTGTATTCTCTGCTCTTTGAATATGGTGGATAACAAACTTTATTGATCATGTTTTACTGCCATTAAAAATTGTAATATTGATTTACCAGTAAATAGCTAATTTTCAGTCAAGTAAATTTACTGGTATGTTGTCAGTTTTAAGTACAAACTGTCTCATTAACTATTCATAACATTTGCGAGTTATTCTGTTACATAGAAAACATAAAATATCTAAACTGAGTTTTAAATAAAGTAAGTAATTGTAATTGAATGTTGAATAATGTGCGAACAGAATATTAAGGTGACATAAAATACTGTAACTAGGTGTTGGATAGAGTAAACATAAAATAATTTGATTAAAATTTAAATAAAGTTATTAGGGTTTTTTGGTGTTTTTTTCTTTTGTTGATAACATTTCATGTAGAAGCATTGCAAAGTTAATTAAAAATAATAAAATAATAAAAAGATTTAAAAAAAAAATCATTGTTATTATTTGATGTTTGGTGCACAAGTGTAAAATGGTCAATTAGATTTGTGAATGTAAGTGTTCTATTTCAATGAGATTTGTGAATGTAAGTGTTTTATTTCAATGAGATTAGTGAATGTAAGTGTTCTATTTCAATGAGATTAGTGAATGTAAGTATGATCATTTAACTAAAGTTTTTTTACTTCCAAAGAAAGTATTGACATCAACTTCCAGGACTTTATTTTGATGAGAGGAAGGATAAAACTCTAGTTGATGTAAAACTTAAATCAAAACAGTTTATTAAACCAGGTTTTGTATATGGTTTACAAGAACCAGGTTTTGTGTACACTGGTCATGTTTCACCCTCTTTTAGGTTGGCTGAATGCATTGCCAGTAGCATTATACTATATTTAAATACAGGGGGATTATTCATTTCATGAACTGGTAATAATCAGTTTTAACAGCACTGTTACTAACACAGTATGAAAAACTTTTGTGTTATCTATATTTATGTAAACACTGCAATGGGGGGTTTGCTTGTTACACTTAAACGAATTGCTATTCCAGCAATTTTTACAAATGTTAGACAGAGAAAGGACAGGCTCAAAATTATTAGTGGTCCGATTGGCATACAACTTAAAAAAATGTGTGAAATTACCAGTGATTTGTCATTGTCAATTGTGAAATTCCAGAAATTGGAAATCTTGTGAGGTATTTTACTATTAAATCAGGCAATTAAGTTTTACTATTAAATCAGGCAGTTTTTCTGAAAATCTATTAGTTTATGAACCTAGACCAATATACATCCAAGGTGGTTAACAGCTGCATATAGAGTTTTATGATTGTATTTAAGCCTTGAAACCTCAATAGAGGAGCACAAAAGTTTTTTTTCTTTTAAAATTATTATAAGATTCCTGCCAAATGAATTGCTGAAAGTAATATACCCAGTAATTGAGAGAAACCTTTTTTTTTTTACACATCCAAAAAATATGCTTTTGATAATGGTAGTAAAGAAATGTGATAATAAGAGAGCAATTTATAGCTAAGCCTTCATAAAGTAAGTTTCTTCAGTTTCTAACTACTCAAATATTTAAATACCTAAACTACCAAAAAATCTTTTTGCTACCAACTACACAGAAATGATTGACTGGAACACTACTATTATTTTGGTAATCAAAATACCAGTTTTATACATTTAGGATACAGGAGTTGATGTTAAAAAAATTACTTTCTAGACCGATGTCTTCATTACTACCTAATCAAATTTCTTGAAACAGTTGCAAATTGAAGCTTTTACCAATTGTTAAAAAAAAAAAATATATTATTTTAAAATAAATCTTACTACCTGTGTTATGCATTTGTATTTGATTTTGTATTTGCTATTTGTATTTGTATTTGTTATTTGTATTTGTATTTGTTATTTATTTTTGTATTTGTTATTTGTATTTGTATTTGTGTTTATTTTTATAATTAATATTTTTCCTTTTTTAAATTAAATTACATAATCGCATAAACATGGTCTTATTTTAATATTAATATTATCATATATTTTTAAATATATACACCTTCTATAGTTAAAACTTTTTTCCCCACTTATCTTATGTCTCTTATCTCACAATAACTCTTATTGTAATAACTCTATGCATTAGATGTTTCCCCCACTAATCATGTATTTTATCTCACAATAACTCTTTTTTCCCCACTAATAATGTCTTTTATCTCAAAATAACTCTTTTTCCCCCACTAATCATGTCTCTTATCTCACAATAACTCTTTTTTCCCCACTAATCATGTCTCTTACCTCACAATAATTCTTTTTTCCCCACTAATCATGTCTTTTATCTCACAATAAGTCTTTTTTCCCCACTAATCATGTCTCTTGTCTAACAATAACTCTTTTTTCTCCACTAACCATGTCTCTTATTTCACATAACACTTTAAATCTAAAATAAAAACCTTGACAAATATGTTTGCTCTGAATTAGATTACAAGTTCTAAAATACTATTATAGGAGACACCAAATCCTACCTGAACAGTACAAAGCTTCATTTCTACAAACTAGTTTATGATTTTTAGATGCTAATTGGAATGGTCACTACAATGAGGAAAAAGGGAGTGCATTCAGAAAAATAAATATAATGTTTTCTATTGATATCATAGGAAAATTAGTTTTCATGGAGTATTGTTTATAAATTATGATCAGTTCAACAAGTGAAAATAGAAATTGCACACCCCAACAACAATAAAATTAATATTTAGACTGTTCATTTTTTTAGCCCAAAAATTTAAAAAAATTTTTAAAGAATGTTTAAAAGAAATCCTATACTACAATGGAAAAGAACAAAGTTAATCATTGATCAGAAATAAAAAAAAAGGTTTTTGAATTCAGTTTATTTCTAGAAAAGATACTAAACACATTAGGACAGGTTACACATGTCAGGTCAAATATTCCTGCTACCGGTAACATGTAACACAGTACAACCTGCTTTATGTCCTGCTGCCTTTTAGGATATGCATTTTTAGGTAAAAATTTGGAGAAACTAAATCTGACTTATACATCCCCTGCCTTGGGGCTCTTGGTTGAGTAAAGGCTAGAGATATGTCTCAATAAAAATACATCTTGTATTTTTATCTCGTCTAGGGTAGACATTAAATGCATGCAGCTACTGTTTTGAAAAATTCCTCATAGGCAAAGAACTAAGGGATAAACAGATTCTGTTAACCAGCTTCATACCCCTTCTTTATCGATTAGGCTGGTGTAGATGTATTTATAATACATTGGTTCCAGTTAGGATGTTGAATACTTAATTTTTTTCTCAATGTATGGGCTTTGCTTGTGTTTATTGTGCCTATTTTGACTCATTCTGTTATCTCCTAATGAGGGTACAGCTCTAAAACAGCTCTAAGGTGTGCACTGTCCACATTTCTAAGGTGTGCACTGTCCACATTTCTAAGGTGTGCACTGTCCACATTTCTAAGGTGTGCACTGTCCACATTTCTAAGGTGTGCACTGTCCACATTTCTAAGGTGTGCACTGTCCACATTTCTAAGGTGTGCACTGTCCACATTTCTAAGGTGTGCACTGTCCACATTTCTAAGGTGTGCACTCTCCACATTTGTTACAGCTTAGGATTTATTAATAGTTTTTTATTATGCATTAGATGTGGATTATGCATTAGATGCGGATTTTAGGGCTATTGCTCTCAACATTTCTAAAGCCTTTGATAAAGTTTGGCATGCTGGTTTTCTCCATAAGCTCTCTACTTAGGGTGTATCAGGTAACATCTTTAAAATTATTGAATCCTTCCTTACCAATCATGATACATAAGTTGTCCTCAATGGACAACACTCTTCTTCATATCCTGTAACTTCAAGGGTTCCTTAAGGTTCTATGCTCAGCCCAATACTTATTTTAATTTACATTAATGACCTCTCAGAAATACTTACAGGTGGCATTCTTTGCTGTTGATACTACCATTTATTCTTGTCTTGATAAGAAGGCAACACTCTCAGATTGCTTAGAGGGGGCATTTGAAAAAGATCTCAATTCTGCTACAGCATGGGATTCTCAGTTACTTGATAACCAAGTTTAACTCAGATAACCAAGTTTAACTCAGATAACCAAGTTTAACTCAGATAACCAAGTTTAACTCAGATAACCAAGTTTAACTCAGATAAGACTCAATGTCGTTTTGCTAACTATTATTGCAGTAATATAGATCTTCTTTTATTTATGAATGGTAATGTACTTGATGAGTCAACCATATATCAATTCCATTGCAAAATTAGCATCTACTAAAGTTGCATCTCTTTATTATGCTTGCCACTTTCTTACTTGGGATTCTATTCTTTATTTCTATAAATCTTGAACCTGTCTTTGTATGGAGTACTGTTGCCATATTAGAACAGATCTTTGAATAATTTTCTTCTCTTTTAGACAAATTACAAAAATGCATTGTAAACATAGTTGTAATGTTACTTTTCTTTCTCTTTTCAATACATACTATAATGGGTGCTGCTCTAAAGACCTAGCGCCTCTTGTGACATCTACTAAATGTAATTCTCGTGTTACTCTACATTAAATAAAGTCTCATCCTTTTACTGTGACTGTGCTTAAACGCATTAAAAACTCTTTTTCACCTAGTTTTTTTCCTAGAATATCAGTTCTTTGGAATTTGTTCACTTCATCTTGTTTTCCTGATTCATATAATTTGTAATCTTTCAAGTCACCTGTTAATCATTTTTTTGCAAAATTTTTTTATTTTTTTTTACATTTTTTTACCTGTTAATCATTTTTTTTCTTTAAAAACTTCATCTTTTTTCTTCCAGTAACTTCCAACTCTAATATTAAAGCGTGTACACAAAATAAATGTGAAAGTAGAAAAATAACTAAAAGAAAGTACTCTTCAATTTTTATTTCTAACCAAGTAATAACTTTAATACAATAATATAAGAAGATCAAATATATAAAAAAAAATCAAATTATTCCTGTGGGAATCTAATAAAATTTCAAACTTTTGCTTTGGTGGTACTCATAAGCTTGTGCACAGAATAAGAATTGAAGCCGTTTTATGCTTTTTTAAATGATATTTTAATATCTTTAATATTTCTGCAAAGTTTTTTTGTTTTTTTCATTTTTCTTTTAATGATGGCCCAGTACTTTTCAATAACTCTTAATTCTGGGCAGTTTGGAGGATTTTCTGTTTTAGGCACAAATATCATATTATTATTTTTATACCATTACAAAGCTAGTTTACAATAATGAATTGAAGCTAAATCTGGTCAGAACACAGGTGTCTTATTGTGTGATTTAATGAGAGGTAAAAGGCGTTTTTGTAAACACTCTTTAACATATTTTTGACCCGAAAGTGTGGACTGAGAAATATAAGAAGCTGATTTTTTGCCACAACTGCAAATAGCTTGCCAAATCAAGACTTTTTTAGCAAACTTGTCATGTTTTATGTATTTAAATTTCTTATCTGCTTTTCCTCTATATTTGGCAATATAATAGATGGCACCAGGAATTTGCTGATGATCGTGCTTGATATAAGCTTCATCGTCTTCAATAATACAGAAATTTTTAGAAATAAAATTGTCATACAACTTTCTGCAGCAGGTTTTTGCACTTTTTTGTTGAGTTTCAGATCAGTTGGACACTTTTTTTGCTTTGAAAGAATGAAAACCATGTTTATTTCAAACTTTTACAACAAAACTATGAGAAAGTCCATAAATGTTTGTGCGCTCCCTTAGTGAAAGGTTTGGGTTAGTCTTAAAACTGTTAACCAGTTTTCTAACTAGTTTTTTATCTTTAAAACCCTTCTTTCTTCCACCACCAGATTTACAGTTGATCGATTTTGTTTGAGAAAAATGTTGGATTACACAACAAATGGTGTATGGATGTATTTGCAACACTTTTGCTATCAAATTGTAGCTACTATTGGGATTTTCCAAATATTTGTGCATAATATTTTCTCTTATGTCTTCTTCTTTTGTCATTTTTAAAACTAATTTTAAGTTAAATCAAAAAACTAATACATATTTTTGAAACCACAACACGTAAACAAAATACAAAATAATTAAAAAGATTTTAATATAACCACTGAAAAAAATGACGTATTTATTCTTTCACATTTATTTCGTGTACACGCTTTAGTTGTTTGCAGTCTTGTTTGAAGTGAAGATGTTTAAAAAAAAACACAAGAAGAAAAATAATATTGTTATAGCAACTAATCTTTTCTTATAACAAAAAGGATAAGAAAATTTTCAGAAATAAAGTAATTTTATGTAACAACATCAAAGTTAAAATGCATTGAGCAAGTTCACACTAGTAATTAAAGAATTCCATAATTTCTAGGGGGTCATGATTATGATAAAAATCATAATTATGTCCGCCTAGAAAAAAATTAAAATAAGATCCAATCATTCTATTCTTTTAACACCAAAAATATTGGTAAAGACCATTCTGTTGTTTTTGATCATGATTTTTATTCAGGAGCTGCTTCAGCCAACAAAAATAAACTAGAGTGGTGGTAAAGTTGACAACTTCTATATATCAGTTCTTAATTGTTAAAAAGGAAAAAAAAAATGACAGTTGAGGAGGCAGAAAAAGTAAAAAAAACCCTTAAAATATTAACTGATAGAAAAAAAAACTGAGTTTGCATTTTGATTCTAAAATTATGGTTGAACAATATATTCATATTGCGTCAAACATAATAAATTGTGCTGCTGTAATTGTTAACTCCCCAGATCTTAAATTTTCCCAGATTATTGGAAAAACAATGGACGGAAAAAGCTTTTTTAAAACATTAAGCATTTTGCAAGAGTTATTATAGAGCCTAGACAGATAACGCAACTATAAAAATGTTTGAAAAAATTAAAATATCTAGATGTTTTTTCTAGAAATGACAACAGATATCTTATTGAACTGGGTGAAATTCCAGTCAAGGAGGCTACTTTATTGTGGTCACTCTCTTAACTCTTTAACTTCAAAACAAAAACATAGCTGCTGCACAGATAAACAAGTTAAGCTCAATACTACCAGAGACATGGTGGAAATCATACTTAGAACTCCTCACCTACAGATAGAACTGTGATATTTACAATATTTAAACTAATTGACTAGTTAAACCTTTGAATATTACAAAAATAAACTTATTTATTTTTTTATTCCTGTAAATTTATTCAAAAATAGATGTTTTTTTAGTAAAGCTCACATAAAAAAATTAACATATTCGGAGCTAGAATCCTTAATTGATGTAGTGGCCTTCCTTTGTGGCAGCAGGCTATAAGATAGCCAATGTATCTACTGAAGCCCCCTGGCAGCAGGTTATTTCAATGTTATTTCAAAGATATACATAAGCAGAAAAAACATTAAGAAATACCTTTCCTCTTCTTTTTTTTTATCTTCTAACTCCTTTTCTAACTTTTCCTTCATTTTTTTTGCTTTCAGTTCTTTTTTTTTATTATACTTTGATAGTTTCAGCAATAATCTCTTTTGATCAATAAGTTTGCGATCTTCATTTGAAAGAGCATCATATTCGTCTTCATTCATCTCTTCTAGCATGTCCCATTCCTTCTTCTCAGCCATTTGAAGTTGTAATTCTATAAAGTATTAAAAAGTTTTCTTATGTTTTAACATAATTATTTTTCTATAATATGATAATCTTTAACATAATCAATTTTTTTTTCTGTTTAAGGCTTGGCCAAACTTTTTTTGGGAATTTTTTAAAATGAACTCAAATGTGATAAAAACGTGTTGTGCACAAATAATAAGCATATTACACAGCCCTTGGAATCAGGGCCTAACTGCTGACCTGAAAGTGTTTGAGTTCAGCAAAAAACTCCTGATCTTGTTTTTATATTTTATGGTAACCTCTTTGTGTCAAACTTTTTTTGTCAACCTGATACCGAACTCTAACTGCTTAAGAAAGGCAATTTATTGCTGAACTAATTTTTCCGAATTCCGAGGGTTAATTATATAAATACTTTTATGTGATAATTAAACGTTAACATATCTAAATGTAATATAATCTAAATATAAATATTTATAAATATAAAAAAATCATAAACAAATATATGTGATATAAATATATCACATATATTATGTGATAAAAATTTTGTATTGCCTATGGCAAGACAAAAATAGTTACATACAATAAATATCCAGTAGTTATCTATTTTACAATTAATTTTCTAGTACTTGAACATTTGTTAAAGTTTGCATAAAAATTTTATATTATTAAGATAAATATAAAATAAACTTAAATAATAAAAATATATATATTACAAAGTATAAAACAAATAAAAAACTATTGAAAAAACAATTATACCATGTTCATATTTTTTCTTTTCATTCATATCTTTCACAGTCTCAAAATCCAATTTTAGTGTAATCGCATAAATGTGTTTTCGATTATTGATTGCTTTTAATACAATTTTAGCGCCGGTAGTAATATCATTAATAAATAAACTTTCCAAACCATCAAAAATTATTCCAGTTGCACAGTCTGTTGCCTTTTAATTAAAACATAATACAAAAATTTAAAGAGTCATAAAAAGATTTATTAAAATTATTAAATAAAGATTCAAAACATAAATTTATACAAACATTTATGTAAATGAACATTAAAACAAACATTTTATAAATAAACTCACCTGCATTCTTTCAGATAGCAACTTTATTAAAATATCTTCTGGTAAAATACAATTATAAAACTCTTCCTCTATACAATCAGAACCAAAATTTATATCTAACTTTTTTGAAACAAAGTTAACATTTGGAAGCATATGAAGTGGTGGAGGGTTCTTTTTACCCAATTTAGCAATTGGAAAACCCCTGTTACTTGGTGATTTTGATGCAATACCAGGCAGACCAAAGTCTGCTGATGCATTAGGTAATAAGGAAAAAGCTTTAGGTTCATTATTTATAACTGGATCTTTATTCAACTTTGTTAGACGAGCAGCAGCAGAGCATAATTCACGAGTTCGAATTGCTTGACAAAAGAAAAATCATAACAATGTACTAGTTAATCAAAAATTGGAATTTAATGAGACTATTAACTTTAGAATATAGTAACTGTAGTAACTATTAAAATAAATTTTACCTGCAGCCGATGTACCACTTTTTATAGATTGTATAACAATTTCATCAATTTTGATCACAGCTGCATTATAAAATTTTGACAGTTCAATTGCGGTTGCAGTTTTTCCAGATAAAGGAGGGCCATGAATGATTACACACAAACTATGGTGATTTGAATTGATATCAAAACTTATATCAATACCTAAATAAGATGCTATGGCAGATGCCACTGGTGTTACTTCTAAATCTCCAACTCCATTATCTAGAAAAAAAAATTTGTAATTAGCTTAACAATATTTTTTATAACTTTTGTGAACTAGTTGAAAGTTAATAAAATTGATTGTTATGGCAACAATAAATAAAAGCTCTATTTGATTATAATGCCAGTTTAAATTCTATACGCCATATGCAAATCTTTTGTTAATAGTAATGTTGTTTTAACATTTTCTGTTTTATTATGATATGACTCATTTTAGACTTTTGCCCATTCACTTTTATTTATAATTTAGGAGCCTGATATAAGATAATAACTTTAGTTCATAAAAAATTGAATAAACAGTAATTATCCCTCATATGAATTTTCCTTAGTTCACAAATTCAAACTTTTATAGAAATACTTTGTGCAGGTAATACCAAGCAGAATTTTTATGGTGATATCTGATACAAGATACAACAAATTGTACTTTAGGCTTTTATATTCAATTTTACCGTAGCAATATATATTATCATACTTATAAAACAAATTTTTTCTGTAAAAGAAACATCAATTTTTAAATCAAGACTTATTTTCACAAATCACATAGTTTTAGTTGATAAAATCATTTAATCATATGTAATATACTGTTCCACCTTACCTCACAGTTGTCCAAAAAGGGGTCCTAACCTATTTGGTTAAATGACCCACAAATCCATAGTAGATTATGGTGATCGCTTTGAAACAAAAATTCAACTCTTTTAATTACGCCTGCAGGAGAAAATTGTATTTAAAGTTTTTACCTAATTTATACTAGGAAAATTAATTTTCAAAATGCGTTTCCACTAGACACTAGATAATCCGTCTCAAGTCTCGATTTATCGTCTGGTATTGGTGCAATACCATACAGTATTGGTATCGAAATCACGCGGTACTGGCATCGAAAGTATCATTAATATTGGTATTGTTTGATATATCGCTGCGATACCTTACAGTATCAATATTGAGATCACGCAATACTGGTATTGACAGTATCGGTTATGTTGGGATTATTTGGTATTGATGTGATACCTTACAGTATCAATATCGAGATCACGCAATACTAGTATCAAAAGTTATTGCTTATGTTGGTATTGTTTTGTACAGTATAAAGGATCAGGTAAATAATAAATAAAATAGTTTTGTGCAGTGTAAAGGATCAGGAAAATTTTTCTATTGTGATTAAAAGGAAAGAAAAGGTTTTGTTTAACATTTATTTCTATATTAAATTATTACAAATAATTAAATTATGTTAAAGATTGTGTAAGGGGCAGACAAAAAGGAAAAGGGGAGGGTGGTATTCAGGGTAACTACCCTCCCTCCTACCTAGGAAATGTCAAACTTCAAAATATTATTGATAAAATTATAAAAATAAGAAATAATACACAAAATTATAATTTAATATTTTACTATTTTTCTTTTAAAAAAAATTATTTATATAAACATTCAATATATTTATTAGCAAACTATCTTATAACCTTTCTAAAATCATTCTAAATGATCAAATGAAACAGTTGCATTATTTAAAAAAAACATAAATCTTATTTTTAAATTTTTTTTTGGTTGGACTTCCCCCTAGAACAATGACCTGGATCTGCCCCTGCTGTGTGTAGTTTCTCAAATCATTATTCCAACTCTATTGAATTTTTATTCCATTCAGGCAAAAATTTTCTGTGTGGAATTTATTTTCAAGAAAATAGTTTTGCAATCACTAAAGAGAGTTTTTCATGTAATTCTCAAAAGGGAATTGCTTGAGATGCGATTGTAAATGATTATTCTAAACGAGTATTAGAAATGATTGTTCAAAAAGAATTAGTTTTGTAACTATCATTAAAGACAGTTTTTCATATAATTCTCAAAAGAGGAATTGCTTGTGATGCAATCGTAAACAATTATTCTAAACAAGTATGAGAAATGATTGTTCAAAGGAAATTGATTTCGTAACAGTCATTACAGTTATTTAATTAGTTTTATATATAATAATTTAACTTTCTAGTGTCTGCGTGGTCTATCGAATTAAGTTATGGCCAATGATTCCAGAGATTTAGGTCAAGTCTTTTTTACAATTTTTTAATTAAAAATGCAGTTTATTTTTTACGTTATCTTAATATAATTCCAGTGAGCATTTAACGTTTAACTTCGTTAGTTACTATTGTTCGATAGTTAGTTACAATTCTGTAATTCGGTAAAATAAACTTATGCAAACGCTATTGTTAGTTTCCAATCTACTTCTCAGAAGTCACGAGGCAAGTTGAGCTTATAGTATTGTGTCAGCTCTTATATTGTACATTTTAATAAGACGATTATGCTGTTTTTTAAACGTTTGTATTTGTTTTTTTTGCGGTTTTTTGTTTGTTTATGCCCAAACCATTTTGTCCTTTTATTTATTTATTTACTTTGGTTTCAAGCAAACTTTTCTAGCTTTTCAATAAAATTTTATCTTTTATTGAATAAATTTATTTTGTTCATAAATAAATTTTTACTCGGTATGTTAGTTTATTTATTTTTAATACTGGAAGTAAGCATTTGCTTACATATTTATTTAAGTTGAAAATTTATTTATTTATTTAGATTTAGATTATAAGAAAATGTATGTTTCCAGAATTGGGAGAAGTCATAATCCAGTTGTTGAACCCATGAAGTGCAGTATTGGTGTAGTGGTAAAACACTCGCTTCATAAGCAAGAGGTTACGAGTTCGATCCCCACCACGTCCCTGGTAGTACCGCACTCAACTTGTTTCTCCGCGCAGCGGCCTTGTTCGTCAAGGTTTGTGTTTTGGAGTTATAGAGTTGAGAGAGGGTTATAACCACTATTAAGTAGCTCGTCTGTAGTAGCCTTCTAGTCCTCGTCTGTAGTAGCCTTCTTGGTCTTGAGGAGGTGAATAACAAAAAAAAAAAAAAAAAAAAAAAAACAAACAAAAAAATTGCGGAGGTTTATATATCAAATATATTATTATTATTTTTTATGCAGTTTTGTTTTTATTGAGCTTATTTTTAACTTTTTAGAAACTAAGTAGGGGTGTATATGATGCCTAACAATTTTTTATGAGTTATTCCAATAGTTTATTTTTATTTGTTTAATTTTGTGACTTATGAATTTATTTATTCAGAAAAAAATTAATAATCAAACATAAGTTAAATGCAATTATTTCAAACCTTGCTTATTTTATTATGTTGATTACTATTTTATTGACATTGACATTTCTGTGATGCTATTACCTAATTTTGTTCTTTTTTAGAAAATTTAGAAAAAAAAAATTCAAGTTTTGAGCTAACACAGACATTTTGTTGTTTGTAAAGGTTAAATTTTGTTATGAGGATTGCAGTTCTTTTAATTTTTATTTTTTGGTTTTTATTAAATAAGTATTCAATTTGAATTAAATATTGTTATAATTTCACGTTTTATCACAAGATATGTATCTTTATATATCAATATATATGAATCTTTTTAAATTCGTTGTTTGCGCAATTCAAGTTATATATGTTTTTGGTTTTCATATATTTTTATATTATGCTCAAAGTTTAAAAGTTCTTGATAAATATGTGTATGTGGTGACATATGCTATATAGTTGTTTTATAAATGTGTTTTTATAATAGTATAAAATGTATTTTATCTAACGTGTATATGATTGTTAAATGAGGTGTTTTTATATGTAATATAACGTTAAAAAAAATATTGTGTTTTATAGTTAGTATATATGTTTATATAATGTTGTTTCCATGATTTCAAAGTGGTGTGACTTGGCAAACCCGTAGAGGAAGGTTTGTCAACCAGTCAAGCGGTGTTACTGCTTTAGGTCTAAGTGTTGTCTAGCCTTCAATATAACTATTCTGAAAGTACATAAAATCATCTTTGATAATTCTTTGCGTAATGTTATTACCTTTGGTTTATCTTTATGTTGGTGTCTGTTGTTAAAAATGATTATTAAGTTGTTTCATTACTGGAACTCACTGCTTTTATTTATTTACTAAAAATCATTCCAGACATCATTTTGCCATAAATACATTATACTTATATCTCAACTTGATTTTTTTGATTTGTTTATATCTCAATTAGATTTTTTAGAACAATGATGTACCAACATTTTCTAAAAGCTGTCATGAAATAACAATATTTAAGAACTACTACTCTGGTATCACAACAATTTATCTCTATCAGGTACATTGATTTTCAAATCATATATGATGTTTTTCTTTGCATTTACTTATTCATTACATTTTTTAACTTCAGATTTATCATATGGTGTATTTATGTGGAACAAATAATTGTAAATTTTTATAAATTTTAAAAAAATATCTACTAATAATTAGTCCAGTTAACACTTAAAGTTCAATTTTGCATATACCATTTTTAAGTAGTTTCTAGGCATTTCTAAATGTTTTTTTTATTCAAGTGGTTTAACAAGCAAGGTCTACAAGCAAATTTGAGCTGAATAGTTTTTCAGCTTTCAAGGAAAATTGATGTTGTTCTCTGTTTAATTTAATTTGTTTAAATAGAGCAGTTTTAATAAACAAATGTTTGTTTGTTCTTGGTTTTTTACTTATTTGTTTTCAGATTCTTAAGAACTAGGCAACTTAGTAAAGCAAGATGCGTTTGATTTTTTAGTGCAATCGGGAAAAGCTGAAGCGCTTTTTAGTCACTTCAAATCAATTGTTTGTTTTTTTAAATAGAAGGGTTAATAATAATAAAAATTTTCAGACAGTAGAACTGTTACTGATTTGAGTAAGTTTAATATTTTGTTTTATTTTATATTGGATTTTATATTATAGTAGATATATATTTTATGCATTCAACATGGAAAACCTACTGTAATTTGTTGACAGGTAAGTTTATATACATAAATGTGCCTATATTTCAATATATTTTATATTTCTCTGTATCTATATAAATATTATCTCAAAGAAAAAATAAAAAAGAATAGAAAAAATTTAAATCTACATACATACATACATATATTACTTTAGACTGACATTGCTTCATTTTTTATACAAAATTCTGCATTTATTATTTTTGTGCATTAAGATTTTA